GAGAAGGCAGACGAAAGCCACAGACGAAACCAGCCGAGTTGCAAGCCAGGAACGGAAATGGAGAAGGCACGGAACACTGTAAATTCCGATAGAAAATACATGCAAAAACTGTAAAGACCGATGCGAGACCCGAATCGAAGATGTTTTTATCCAAACTGCAACGTGCCCAAACTCGAGTTCTGGCACATTGCAGTTCCGAAATCGACACACCCTTCGCGGGAGCACACGTAACAACAACAACAACAACAACAACAACAACAACAACAACACCAACAACACCAACAACACCAACAACACAACTCCAACTCCAACACCATGAGCAGCAGCAGAAACAACCTCAGCGCCACCACCAGCACCACCCTTGCCACCACAGGGAATATTGACGGTACTGACTGCTGCCATTGTTCAAACGTTCCGGTTTCCGAGCCTTAGACCGGCTTATTCCGGCATGGTTTTCGGATGGTGTCGGCAGTCGTAGTGATGACGGTGGCTGTGGTGGACAGTGGTATACAGTCGTGATGGTGGTGGTGGCTATGATGATGTTGCCTTTTGGTGGTGATGGTAATGATGGTGATGGCGCTAGTAACCAGTCAGTAGTGGCGATGGTGTTGGTGCAGAGGTAATGGTGATGGTCGTGATGATGATCATGATGATGGTGGCGGTGGTGACGGGTGTGCCGATCCAGACTGGAGTCACATGCTGGATAGCGAAGTCAGACATAGCCAAAGGCAGCACACCAAGTTCGAACGTATTATTCGGCAAATTCCTCTGCTCCAAGGAGTAGCGCCACTTTTTACAGGGATTTCCTGGAAGGCGAAGGGATTTATTTGGGATCGGCACCCTGGGAATCAAAGCCATGCTCGACACACGTGCTCAGTCACAGGGATTGTTCCGTTGCCAGAGCTGTTTCATCCGAGGTGTCGCGGTTTAGTACTTAAACCTGGACCCTCATACATGGCAGAGCAAGACAGGCAATCCGGTCAGAACGATCACTTTGTGGCCAACGTATGTGGTCTTTTTCAGTCATGTCTTGGCGGATTGTTTGTGGTGGGAAAGCACGAAAGCTGAGGAAGCCTTGGTTTGACTTCTCTAATCTATCCCGTGCCCTCGTCCCGCATGAAGCCATAACCGTAGCCACTGGAAGTTGAAGCCGCGAGTGGGCCCTCTCATTGGCGACGGCTACGGCTCGCCGTCAGCCCGAGAGGGGCGGGTGCGGGGATGAACTACGGCTGCCGGCTTGGACTTGCAGGCATGCTGCTTTCCAGAGCGATCCGGCTCAGCCGGCTCTCGGAAAGAAGCCGGCACATCGATGCCAAGCAGTAGCAGGCCCACTCTGGCACGACATGCGGATGGACTGGTAAGGCTTGCAGCGCATCGACCCTCCTTTCAACTTCAGCGATCTGGTCCTGGTGATCGCCATCCTGTTGCGGCTTGGAAAGAGGCCCTGGAAACCCTTTGCAGCGCGTGCCTAGTCACTGTGAGCGGCAGCTTTGTTGTTGTTTTTGCATCTTTTTGACCGAGCTTTTTCTCAAGCGTCCAGAAAGACTTCAGGTGTAGATCCAGCGTTGAACGGGACACTGTCGGCTTCAACCTGGCCGCCTCAAAATGCGAGAAGCAGCATTTATGGCCCTCGGTGGTGCATTTGCTATCGGTCACACGAGAGTGTGCTCTCCTTCCAGACGAGGTTCCGTGCTTACACATGTTGAATCCTCACAGCCCTGTCGCTAGAGGCCTCCGATTCAGGAGCCTTGGAGATCGACTTCTTGAACCCCGAAGTCATGGGATCATCCGAATTCTCTCTTGCATCCAGATCCCGGTCAGGTTGGCTTCAATACAGCCATCTCTGCCGGCAGTCGCGCAGCGCTCTGGCAGCTCGCCCTGGGCCTCCTAGGCCCCGGCTGGGACTGTAAAGGTTTCGGGTCGATGAGATGTAAAGAAGCAGAACCAATCTACGGCGGAAGTTTACAATTAGCAGTCAAGAGCAACAGGAGAACGCTCAACTTGCCATCGGAGTTTATAAGGTGTACTGTAGGATTTAAGACGTAGGGATAGGGTTTACAGTGTATAGGGTTCGCGATATCGAAAGCTTCCACTATTTGGGAGGAGATACACGAGATGAGTGTTGTCGTGCTTAACTGTACCGGCTTTACCAGAGTCTATAAATGTACCAGCTAAACCCAGCTACAGTCGAAAGCTGGCACCCGAATTGGCACATTCAAGCAGGAGTCAGCAGGAGTCCTACTATCAGGACATGAGGGCTTTCCACCTCAAACCTCGCAAGCCCGAGACGGTACGAATCAGATTAACGCGAGCAGATCAGCGGAAATAGAATTCCCTAGTCTAGGGGCCTAAATCATTAATTACCAACATCATTCAAAGGGTTCCTTATTATGATCACAGTATAATATATGCAAAACCCTATTCTAGGTATTAAGGCCCCTGCATTAACCCAGACTGGTCTCTTGTGAGGCGACCTCAACCTTGGGCGCTTGCGGCATGACGCCTTTGGTCTAAGTGGAGCCCTGCGTGCGTGCAAGGCGGCAAGAAAGTCCTTGGGTGTTGAGGATTCTCGGGTCGATGGGCTTCGGGAAATCGCGGTAGTAGTTTTGGAGTTGGGGATTCGAGGTTTCAGGGACGCGTTGGGGCTGTAAGTTCCTGAAGACAGGTTTAGAAGGTATATAACTCGGTATAATTTACAGTATAATATGTAGACCCCAGATTACAGCTGGGTTTACGTGTGCCTTTTCGGCCTCACTCCTATCCGTACTGTTTTTGCGTGTGCGAACCGAGAGCCATTACCGGTGACCGGTGAGGATAGAGATGACGGTTGTTCATTCCGGGGCTTGTACCTCTTTTCTCTCGACTGTTGTCGTTGTCCTTGTGGTTGCGGCGTCTGCTTTTTGATCGGCAGTCGGGGTCCCCACATTAAACCGAAAATCTAGCCCGACTTCACAGTCTCAGCTTCCAGGACGCCTGGATTCATGGGATAGCTTTGCTGAGCTCAGCATTGGACCAGCAGGCAGGGGTAGCTGCACAGTCGCCAGGTTTGCAAGGCTGCGGTGATGCATTTACGGTCCTGGCACGTGCAAACTTGGCGACAACCAAACCCTTCCCCGCAGCAGGTATCTTTGAACATCATTGCCTGGAATGCCGCGATCCGAGGCGGTAGTGACCAAGGTGCGCCGCAAAGAGGTTCAGATTGTTCTTGACCCAGCCAATAACACCAGCTTCGGGCCAGAAATGCTCCGACAGCGTCAGAGAATCCATGATTGTGTTTGTAGACCAGATGCAAAACAAAACTGCTGCAGGGAAGAAGAAGCTATCGATGCTGGGCAGTTCTGAACTTGTTCATTTTGAGTCCGAGTATGAAGGGCTACGTCCGCCACCGACTAATTCCAAGAATGAACTACAGTTGTTCGTGACATTTGCCATACAACAACAACTCGGGCACCACTGCCCACCTACAGTAGCCTGCTAGGCGCCGGCGGCTGGCGCCGTACCCTTGTCCTTCTGCGCCAAGCAGCCGCGAAGGCCTTTGAGGGGGGGACCCAAATTTGTTTGTTGTTTTGCACATTTTGTTTTGTCCTTCTGGGGGGATGGCGGGAAGGAAGGCAGGAAGGAAGGAAGTAGTGCGTACTCTATATATATATATACACACTGTTTAAATAGTGTGTATATACATCGTCTAAATATATAAACCTACGCAGTATGTATATAGTATGTATGTAGTATAAAGAGTGTGTATACTGTATATATAGTATAAATATATATATATAGATAGATAGATAGATATATATATATATATATATAGTATGTACAGTGTATATAGTATATGGATAGTATATGTGCAGTATATATGCATAGTATATGTATAAATACTATGTATATATAAAATAGTATATATGGTATATATACTGTACTATATATATATATAGTATCTAAAGTGTGTGTATATATATATATATAGTATATGTAGTGTATATATCGTATACATAGTATCCGAAGGTGTGTGTGTATGTGTGTGTGCTCCGGCAGCAACAGCAACAAATCACCACCAGACAGACATTGTGTTTGCAAAAGGGGGGGGCTGCCCCAACCCCTCCCCCCCCCCTCGCTTTCTTTTTTCTTCGCCGTGCAAGCGTGCTTTCAAGAACATCGCGTCATCAGCAGGAATTGCGTCCTGCACAGAACGGAGCTTTTCAGAGCCCATCATACAGGCAGCCTTTCCTTTTGTAAACGTTGCAAATGGGGCTAGTGTGTGTGTATATATATGTGTGTATTACATCTCCCGCAGCAGCAGCAGCAACAAATCACCACCAGACAGACATTGTGTTTGCAGATGGGGGGGAGGGGCTGCGGCCCCCCCAACCCCGCCGCTTTCTATTATATAGTGTATATATATATATGTATATATATATATATAGTGTATGTATATATATATATATATATAAATAGAAAATGCAGTAAATAGGGTATGTATATAGTGTGTGATATATATATATATACACATACTATAGTGTGTATATATATATATATACATAGAGTATATATCGTCCATGTAGTGTGTATATATTTAGTATGTCTAGTATATACAGAGTATGTACGGTATATGTATAGTATATACATTGTATATGTATACAGACTATGTATGTATATATATATATATATATATCATATATCGCATATAGTTTATGTAGTATACATATAGTATACATATAGTAGACATATAGTGTATATATATATATATAGTGTAGGTGTGTGTATATATATACACATATTATACCTTATTATATAGTGTGTACATATATATATATATATGTACACTACATATATACATATCCCAATATATATATATATATATCATATAGTATGTATAGGGCATGAAGAAGGAGAGGAACTAGAGATATAGAGATTTGTTTTGAACATATAGAGAAAATAAAGGGTTTTCATAGGAAATAGAAGGAAAATAGAGGTTTCCCGATTGAAAAGTGCAGATCTACCCCCACCCAGCACAACAAAAGAGGTCCCTCCGCCCCAAAAAAAAGAAACAAGACCAAAACAAATTCTCCACCGCTTTGAGGGAAGGCAGAACGAGGATTAGCATCAAGTAGCCGCAGGCTCTGCTGTATGCAGCGAAAAGTTCGTAACGTCTACTTCAGGGTTAGTGCGTAGGAACTTCGTGGGAAGATCCTGCTTGCAAGCTCCATTCCCGAGTTATCTTGCATTCAAAAGCTACGACTCGATAGTTTCGGTTAAGAAGATTAGATTCTTAGTGCAACTCCCGGTCTCGGATTGACCAGTACAAACGAGTTATGACATCTTTATCCTCATTTTGTATCGTTCGTATCTCGTTGAGAATGTCATCACCGTCCGTCTTGGTAGCGGCCTGTGTGTGCTATTATGAATACTTTGGCTCGCAGCCCGTGCTATGGTTCCTATAGTGCGTCAGCATTACTTGCGAGGCCCCGCCGACGCCGGCCTCGTTTGGTGGTGCCCCTCGGGCCGTGACATCAGACATAGCCCACCAGGGCTGCAGCACGGTTTGGAGACTCCATGAGTGCTGGGATGGTCGCACTTCAGCTCTTTCGCATTCGGAGTCCTAGTGGGCAATCGGTGCGTTTCGAACATTTCCTGCTGTTGGTTCCGGAGTCGGGGCTGTGTATTGTCTGCGCTAGCTTTTCAACATCACGGCAGGTGGAGCTCGATTGGTACAGATCTCCGGATTGACCCCCGTGGTGACACCACATGCAACCTCGGGGCTAAGGCTAAGGCGGCTAAGGCACATGAGATTACAGCTTGGCAGTGTTGAGGCAATGACAGCAAGGTGCTTCGGCATGGCAATCCGGGAAATCGGGCAGCTCCCCGACCCAGCGCATGCGCCACAGGGCGGCTGGGACTGCCGCCGACCCTGCTTCATAGGACCTGCTTCTTTCCACCGGGCCGCGCGGGACCTGCTGTGAAGGCTAAGCCGGCAACACACGCGTTTTGCCGGCCATTCCCCACGGTATGGCGTTTTGGGGCACCCGTGGGCAACGCCAGGAGGGCATCCGGCGAGAATCATGCCGGAAGCCCCAAACGGGCGCGCATCATCAGCATCAGCGGGGCGGCGGAGGGGGGGTGCGTGGCCTTGCTCCGGGCTGCTACCTGCGCTGCCCACCCTAGAACACAAGTCCGATACTGTCCATGACTTCCTCGACCCAGCGGAGTTCTATGCCCTAACGCACGGAACCGGAGCTGAGGTGCTCCATGCTTGCCGCAGTTCAGGCGCCGATTCTTCCTGAGCCCAGTGGTATCCACGATGCTGTGAAGATTTGACCTGTGAACGCCTTGTATGCAGACAGTGCTTCAATCACTCCGGAGGGGCAATCCAGGCACCGAATCTTCAAAACGGAGGACGAGGAACCATGTGGTGGGAGTGAATGATGTGAATGGGAAATCGGGAGGCATAGAAATCCTTGCTTGTTCTGTGAACGTGGCACGCTTGTGGAGTTGGACCTCGGTGAAAGAATGGAGGGAAGCGGGAGATAGAGGCAGAGAGTCGGTGCAAACAGGGGGTGGGAGAGCATGCAGCGTGTTCAGATCGGCGGAGATGGAAGGATGGAAATGCTGGGGACAGAGCCTCGCTCGTGACAGAGAAGCGCGTTTAAGACAGCCCGGCCCGAAGTTTATCAGATAGCCGGGCTTGAAGTTCGTTCTGCCCCCAAACCCTCAAGTCGGAAGCAGCATCTCAAGATCACTTTGCGAGAGGCGCTTGGCATGCATCTTCTTGGCTTCTGGAAGTCTCCGGCGGCGTGCGTTTGCTGCCCAGTGCCGTAAGCGCTACTTCGGCCCTCGCGGCTTTCAAGGACCGAGCCGTCTGCTTGATCAAGCTTAGGATCGGAGGCCCTGAGCCTTGAACCCTGCTTCAAGCCTCGATCTTACTTACTCCCAGAGACAAGTACAGGATCCTGCTAAAATGCCTCTGATTCCCTCTTCCTTAGAGGCATCCGTGAGTTGGCCTCGGACGCTGGCACTGGCTGCTAGCCTCGGCCGAGGAGAGCAGCAAGAATGGCAAGAAGGGCAAGGATGTTACCGGAATCCTCGCTTTTTTGGGGCGCTGGAACTAGCTGCGCAGGAAAGTGTGCTATGTCGTTGCTATGTGATGCTGGATTTAGCAGTGCTGGCTTCACATGCCTTGAGAGGCAACCTTGAACCAGATACAGGCTTCCATCGAGCCGCTCAGCTTTAAAGCTTTTCCTCACAAGCCCCAGGCTGCGTGTTGGTTGGTCCATCATGCCATGTGCACGATCCAGGGCAACAGGCATGTACAGCTGCAGAGTTTAGGGCACTCTTTCACATTGTAAGCATGTGGCTTCATGCTCAAAATCCCACTCTGTAGCCACTGTAGTTCTTGCTTGCCCGAGGTGGGTGTAATTGCTACCTAGCACAAACGCGGCTACTTTTGGTGCCTCACACATTGAACAGATGTGCGTTACTCATACCGTAGCTCTTTTCGAATCGCCTTAAGATGGCCAGCAGAGTCATGAGCATTGTTGCAAAACCATGACTGGATACAATCGTGTCGTTCGTAAAACGCAAAGCTTGTCACAGAACATTCCATGCATTGCACAAGGTTTGCATCGCAGCGACCACCGCCGACTGGGTTCGCTGCATGGAGGCCATGCAGCAGGCAACATGGCCTGACACTGCTCACAGCCCTAGGCATCCATCAAAAGAGTGCCCCCCATGAGGGAAACTTGTAAATGTCGGCTCCTATTGAGGCGACGAACTTGCCACGGTGATGATGATGGAGTTACCGGGGTCAGGGGTTGGGGTTTAGGGTTCATGATGGCCGAAACTCATCCACCCGAGGTCACCGCAGGGGAGTCAGAGCAGCACAGCTGCATCGCATGGCAGTGACTACGGCTGTGGGACTGACCAGGGTGTCGGCTGGCTGTCCTACCCTGTACAATCGAAGCGTGTCGAAGCCCAGCCCAAGACTCAATGCGAATATCCATCGTGTTTCGGTGCAGGAAACTTCATGCATGTCCATTTCGAGCTTTGTTTTCTTTCTGCTTGGCAATGTGCCTGTCCTCGGTGCACAACTGTGGACCGTACCCGTACAATCCCTGCGGAGACAGACCGGGGCGATAAACGACAAAGTTAACACGTGGTTCAGCAGTTCAATCGGTTGTTGTCTGCATGTGCTCCAAACCCTAGGCCCTATGAGCCCTCCCTGGCAGTCGCTGAGGGAGATGCTGACAGATCTTTCTGCCGCGGTCGCGAAAGCTGGTGGCTTGGAGTGGGTTTGGCATTTTGGATGGCTGAACGAATCACTGAACGAGGACTTCCGGACCCCATGCAACTGTAGGCGCTCTGCTATGGTCCGCCAGACCGTTTCGCTGTCTCAAGCAATGCATTGCGGAGCGGATCCCAGGCTGCTGGCAGCAGTGCTTGAGCTTGGGCTCAGCACGAACGCCCTCGGCGGTACGGCTAAATACGGCAGGGACTGGGGGAGGGTTATCAAGATCGTCTCTCTGTGGAGCGTGAACTTAGTATCTGAGAAACTGGTTCCAAGAAAGTTATACGTGCGCGACGTGGCTTGTGCTGATGGTAGTGCAGGTTGTGGAGGGGCTTGAGGTTCAGGGTTTGGATGGGAACATGTCGGTCAAGCATCTTCATGGGATCATTCGTTTATGCTAGTTCTGCAAGGAGTTCAGTCTGTATTACTTAACTGCAAAACTCCTGCAGTATGCGGCGTGTCCATCTGCAGGTCGTCTGCCACATGCCACTGGCAGTTCGTGTCTTTCTGGAATGACATCAGGGAGGTTGCAGGAAAATCTAGAGAACGTAGCTGCCCAAACTGGCAAGAGAATGGTGAAGCATAGACAGTGGCATCGCGACCCCAGTAGCTGATGTTGGTCTAGACAAGCGTGAAGTCTCGCTTTAATTCGCCCCGATTGCATCGCCATGTTCAGAAATATTGAGCCCTAAACCCTGTGTAAGCATATAACTACGTAGAAACCCTTAACTAAGCTGTCTGAGCCGTGTAAAATTGTGGCTGCAATGGTGATCTTGATCTTAGCATGATAAGGCCGAGAAAGAAAACCTGATACCGTCTCATATAAGCCTTGCAATATCTCTAGAAAACCTTATGAAGCCTCGTGACGGTGAACATCTGTAAAGCCCTGCTGTGGCAGGTCCTCGGGTCCCTTCAAGATGTCAAGCTCTGGGAAGTGGCTGTTCAGCTCCTTCGCATCTCAGTCGGCAGTGTGGGTTGAATCCAGGGGGCGTGCCAGAGGTCAGTGTTGGGGGCTCTGGGAGTCTAGGCCGCGGCACCTGGCTTCCCACTATTGCTATGGGTCGGGCCCATTCGCAGGTAACTTTCCCTGCGATCGCATACATGCAGACACGTGACTCGTCAGCAGACAGAATCGCATTTGTCAGCTTCACATTACCGCAGCTCCGTCCCTCAAACTCCCAGGTCCCAATTTAACCCCAGCACTGCAAAGCTCGGAACGAAGCTGTCGAACCCTTGCATTTAGAAACACTTGCATTCCAGGTCCTATGCCCCTGAGCTGAAATAGACTTATAACGGGCCCAGCCTCCCCAACCAGCCACAATTGGCGCCGGCCGCCTGCCAAGTTGGGAGGATCCAAACCAGTCGCCCGCAACCCTAAACCACCAAGAGCCTTGCCTGGCATGTCCGAGCGTGAGCTCCGAAGTCCTCGAGGAAAAGCAGAGAGGCGATCGAACAAACTCATTCTAAACCCTCCGGAGTTTAGCTGTAGATGAACCCGACTTTGGGTTTCTAACGCCCCACGAGGACGAGCTTCCACACCACAGCGGCAGCAACTGCAGAGCTTTGGTCATGGACTTTGGCGATGCTGGCGGCCATGGTGCTTTGCAGGCGTTTTGCAGTAGAAGGGTATGGAGTATTCGCTGGGACAGTTCGACCGAAGGTAGATTAGTCATTAGTATATGCCTTGAGATCAACGCTTCGTGTGCTGCGTAAGTCAGTCACAAGGTCAGTTCAGGCCTGGAAAAATTCAGGCATATAGGCTGGTCATTGGACATGTTGAAAGCTTATGTCTTGTTGTGTTTCCTGTTGTATCAAACTATCGTACCACAAGGCACCTCACATGAATCCGAATCAGCCCCTCATGCGTTCAAGGGCCACTTTTTGGAAACCCCGTGCACCTACAGGCTTTTGTGCAATCACAGGGTCGTGAGTTCTAGGCATTCATTGTTTAAGTAAGCACTGGCGCCACTGTCTTATAGTCTGCAACTTCCATGTCGCGGAGAGGCTTCAGCAAAACATCGTCAGTGTCAACACGGGTGTGGCTGCTCCGAACTCCCCTGGACGCTGGCAGCACGCGCTGAGCCGCCTCGGTGACGGACTGAGGTGACTTGTTTCCTTTGCGACACGAGATCATCAGAGGTAACGGATCCTGGATCCTCACTGTATGTGGTTCGCCTGCATGGCCCATGCATACATCTAAATACGCACAGGTGTTTTGACGCGCCGATGCACACGCACGCGAATCTGCAGGTTTTTGTATTGCCACTTACGTATATGTTTATGAATGTCATATGTGTATGTGTATATATATATATATACGGATATACGTATACAGTATACATATATGTATCGAGCCATCGAGCACGAGTGCTAAACATGTTGGTACATGTATTTGCTTGTTACTGTATTTATTCGCCTATGCACGCGTGCATATGCATGTATGTATCCATGTATGCATGCCAATGTACATATGTATGTATGTATGTATGTATGTATGTATGTATGTGCTGTAAACCTCGGTTGACCTGGTCGAGCGCGAGTGTCAACAACATATATGTATATATGCAAAATGTATGTATATATGTACTTAGGCATGTATGTAGGTTTGAAGGTCTTTATGTAGGCTTGTACGTATGTATTTATGTACTTACGTTGGTGTGTACGGAACGGATGGATGGGTGGATGGACGGATGGATGGGTGGGTGGGTGGATGAATGGATGGATGGATGGATCGATGGAAGATGATTCTCTAGTATGGTATAGTGTACTATACTATATAGTATTGGATGATGTTTTAACGTTTTAAATTCTATCAAAATGTTGTGTGCTATAAACTATAAAGTATATACATATATAGATATACACATGTTTACATATATATATATATACATACATACATACATATATATATATATATACATATCTATTTATTTGTATTTATATGTGCGTATGTATGTATGTACGTACGCATGTATGTATGTATGTATGTATGTATGTATGTATGTATGTATGTATGTATGTATATGTATGTTTGTATGTATGTATGTATGTATGTATGTATGTATGTAGGCATGTATGTAAGGTAATGTGATGTCAGGTAATATAATGTAATGTAATGTATGTATGCATGTAGGTACGTACGTACGTATGTATGTATGTATTAATGTAGTGTAATATAATATAATTTAATGTAATGTGATGTATGTATGTACGTTTTTATGTAATGTACTGTAGTAATGTAGTTCAAACTAAAGTATTGTATGTATGTATGTATGTATGTATGTATGTATGTATGAATGTATGTATGTATGTATGTGGTGCTCGTAATGCATGTAATGTAGTGTATGTATGTGTGTATGTGTCTATGTATCTATGTATGTGTGTATGTGTGTATGTGTAGTTGTATGCTTGTTTGTGTGCGTGCTTACGCACGTATGTGGGTGCATGTTTGATTGCGGGTATGTTGTTTGTTTGTGTGAGTGTGTTTGGTTGTTTGTGCTTGCGTCTTGTGTGCATGTAATTACGTTCGTGCGGATGCGCATACGCGCATACATACCCAGGTAGGTAGGTAGGCAGGCAGGCAGGCAGGCAGGCGGGTAGGTGGGTCCATCAGGTGTGTATGTGTAAGGGCCACGGGTGAGAGCCATAGATCTTTGGCATGGTTCGAAGGCATGGTTCGAAGGCTGTTGTCATTAGAGACGTTAGCTGGTCATGTTGAAGCCGTGCCCAAGGCCATGGTACCACGCTGGGTATCCGTGCTGACCTCGTGGGTTGGAGCACATCCATTGCGTCTTCCTCCGCTGCCCGACATTGGCAGACAGCCACGGACATGCTTCCTGGCTTGAACGGTGATGGAGTGCCTAAGTGTCTTCACCATGTTTTCTTCAATACGGTAAGTCTCTGGCCGAACAAAGCTAGTCCCGGACTTTTGCTGAGGTTGGTGTTTTCTTGTTGCTGGATCTGCTTGACAGCCTCCAAGAATGCCTGGCAGAAAGCACGCGTTATACGATGCCTACATGTCCTGTGCACTTGTTGTTGCGGCTGCAAACAGGCTCGACTGCTTCGCAGATCGGCTTGCGCATCGGTTATGTCTTCTGCCCGTACTGAAATCAGGTTCCATGCGCTTTCCGAGCATCGGATGACGGCAGACGTGTTGAGCAGCAACTTGATGCAGCTTGGTTTCATGTCGGGAAGACACTGTCCACAAACGTTGCTGCTCGGGAGCCAAAACTAGCTGCCGAGCCAAGTAGCCAGTAGCCAGCCCGACATCTGAAGTCCTTAGCTAGCCGCTGCCCTTAACAATAAACTGTCCAGGAAAGCCCCCAGACATGCATTGAGCTGTTTGCCGGCCTTGAATACTTATCTTTAAGCATTCCCAGAAGCTCTTGCGAAGGCCCTTGTTGCTGAAATGCTTGTCTTCGTGTCCGTAGTGAAGCATCATGTATTTAGGTTTTGACAAAAGATGACAAAAGTTGATTGGCATCCCCGCAAGAAAAAGGCTGGGGTGTTATGCGGAGACCGGATGTTGGCAGCTGGCGGTGCAACTCCTGCTGCACGAGATGTGCGACATGTCCGTCATAGCAGATGAAATCAGTCCCTCAACCTAATTATGAGGTGAAACGACTCTCTTTGGGGCAAGGGGCCCTTGTTGTAACGAAGATGATCGGTGCTAGCAGTCCTACATCGCCAGCATGCTCTCGACTCCAAGCTGTGCCTGCTGGCACACTTTGTTGTTGCACGTTCTCTTGTCTTGTCTTCCGCCACCGTGCAAAGCGAAGGCTTGTGATTCGTTGCGAACCTTTATTCTAAGGAGTTCTTGAATCAACAGCTTGTGTGTTCATGGTTTAAAGGGTGGCTGCACGGTTAGGCAAGAGTCCGGAGATTGCCTAGGACAGGGTTTGATGATGCTCATGACATGGCTGATGCCATCCCTGGAAGCGCAGCTAATATGTTGGGAAGGGTGTACGTGCGTTGCAACACAACAGACCTCCGCTTCCAACCCTGAAGCTGCGGCTCGGATTCGACCCTCAAGTTTACAATAAAACCGCGAAAGCAACAAGCAGACAAATTTCTAAGCCTGGAGATGCCAAGCACATAAGGCATCGGAACTCATGGAGGTACCAGACGCCAACCTGCTACTGTACCCACTGTTCTTCACAATCGCTGGCACATGACTGGGAGTTTTATCAGTCAGGCGTTTTGTCAGCCTTCAGATCACGAGGCCTTCCCCAATTACTGCATTTCTGGCCTTTGTGGTCTTTATCGAATTCCACATCTGTACAACCTTAAAAAAACATTCGAATGCCTCCGATGTCAAGAAGCACAGGTTGGATATCCACCATTACCTCCTGTGCCACGACATCACAATGGCAGCTCGCTCTTGGCCTGCTGACCGACATGCGCTTGAGCAGGCCGAGACGTCCAGTTTTCTCAAAAGGGCGCCGGGCAGGAGCGAAGATAAGATCTTGCTCAGGCAGAGAGAATTTTATCGGCATGCGTTAAGTGAGAAAGAACCTACAGTACTGCCACTGGATCTTCCGGCTATGTTTGGTGACAAGGCATCTCGTTATGTTCTTTCTGAGGTTGAACCCATGGGCCCCTAACATGGGCCCTTAGGGGATTCTAGGGTCCCTTAAGGGTATATATAAGGTACATAGTAGGTATATTAGGGTCCCAGGGTTAAGGGCCCATACTAGGGGCCCATGGGTTCTACCTTCGATTCTTGTTGGTGCTGGTGTTGCTGGTCGGTCCTGTTCTCGTCATGGTCGTTGTCGTCGTCGTCACTATGTGTTATCGCATTGGATGTGATTGTGCTTGGCTGGTCTTCAGCCGCAGATTGAAGGCTTCCCAACATCATGATCGTCGAGTTTTACCGCTTTTGGCGCTGTCGTTTGATGGTTACTGCTGCTGCTGCTGCTGTTGTTGTTGCTAGCTTGGTTAATGCCACAAACGTTTTTGGCAGGAAGCCGCAAAACATGCCTGTAGCCTCAGCAGTACACGAGTGCCCTGTGTCGGCATTAGTCTCGCTAGTTGTCGGAGTACGTGTGTTCATGTCCAGCTGGTGCAGCTGCGTGTCCATGTGAGTTGCCGTGTTGCTAGTGGCGTCGGACCTGGATGAGTCATTGCATGTATCTGATGCCATTGTGCAGGCCCACCGTCTCCAGTATCGCCGTCAGTGCAGCCATGAGCGCTGTAGCCCAGGCTGGCTTTGATTTTCGTAGGCGGTCAGCTCGTTTGCCGCCTTTGGGGCTGTCTAACTGCGGGTATCGAAACTTTGCGAGGGTTGCAATCTGCGAAGTCATGAGGCATCCTTTTGGCAAATGGCTGTCGCAATGCTCGAAGACATGCAGAAGACTCCAATGGTGATCGATGAGGTAAGCTCCGTGGCCGCAGAGAGCAGTTACAGCAGACAGGGTAGTGTTGTTCGCGTGAACCTACTACGTAGCTGCCGCTTAGGAGCCCTCCTCTGACTCTCTATTCTAGCGAATGCTTGCGTGAATTCAGCTGACTTTTGCGGACGGTGCGACTGCTTGTTACTGCTACTGCCACCGCCACTACTTCCACGACCATGACGACGACTGCTACTAGTACTTCAACTACATCTACTGCTTCTGCTGCTTACTTCTACGACTTCTTCTCCCGCGACGACGACGACCACTACGTACCACTACCACTACCA